ATTATTTCACAAACTAAAAAGGTTGTGATATAAGGTTGTGGGTACAACCTTGATAAAATGTACTCCCTAGGAGGACACTAGTGGGTTTCCATAAATTGCCCTGAGAATAAGAATGAGTGTGATGGTTAATGGCTTAAGGGATACCCAGATACCTGGTAAAACATTACTTCTGGGTGTGTATGTGAGGTGTTTCTGGAAAAGATTAGCATTAGATTCAGTAGACTGTGTAAAGAATGTGGGCAGTCCTCACCAACGTGGGTGGGCTTCATCCAATCTGCTGAATGAACAAAAAGGCAAGAGAACCATGAATTCTCTCTCTTCTTGAGCTAGGATGTCTATCTTTTCCTGCCCTCAGACATTAGAGTTTTTAGTTCTCAGGCTTTTGGACATAGACTGAATTATACCATGGCCTTCCCTGGTTCTCCATTCTGTAGACAGCAGAATGTGGACTTCGCAACCTCCATAACCATATTAGCCAATTTCTGTGAGATAGATATATAGATATAGATGTAGATACATAGATGTCCCACTAGTTCTGTTTCTCTAGAGAACCCTAATACAGCGATTATATATCCATTACAGACATTCCCAGAACGGTGGAGCCACCCTTGAGATTTACAGAGGCAGGAACTGAGGGGACAAGACCTTGTCCAAAATGGTCAGTAGCAGAGATGGTCCTTGAATCTAGTGTTCTTAGCTCAGTCAACATCACCTTGGTAGAACAAGGCTTCCACACTGACCTTTGTGGGCCAGACAGTGCTCCCCATCTCCACTCACACACCCAGCCAGATTTCCAAGAGGCATCCAATATCCAGACCACCCAAACCAAAGCTAACCTTCCAGTAACCAGAGTTGGTTCCCTGAAACATAATTTGAAGAGTCAAGGAAATGTCCACATTAACAATGCCTCCTCCATCTACCTGCCTTTGGGTCTGAAATCCCCCTGCCCTTGTATTAACCTCTTTAGGAATGTCAAAATGGAAACAGCAATTCAAGAGTGAACTCTGGAACTGTTATTTTGCTGAGAACTAGTCCAGCAGATCCCTGAGTAAAAGCAAAGATGAGAGTTTGTATGGGGAGTGGGTACAGAGTAGAGTTAAATATAGGTTGACAAGAAAGGTAGAAAACTCATACAAAGAATACTCCTGATATAATAAATAAGATTTCCCCATATTAAAGGCTAAGGTGGGGGCCACTGGGGGATATATTAGGCTCCCTGGGGGAAAGGGTTAAAGAGTGTCATCCCATAACTGTCTGTCCTTCCAGGCTCAGCCCAGACAGCCCCTCACCAGGAAGTCTTCCTGGGCCCTCCAGGATTGAGCAAAGCATCTGCCTTCAAGGACCTCATAGCATTCTGAGCTCCCCCCGCCCCACCCCGCCATCATGACTCTTTCATCTCACTAGCTGTGAGCTCTTTGAGGGCAAAATGAGGTCGTGCTACATCCCCAACAGAGGCCCTGCCTGGATTTATGGATGGTGCCTCAAGTTGAGTTAACCTGCCTTGATTCATTTGCAAGCCACACTTGGAGAAAGGCCCCTTAAGTCAAGGCTCCTTCTTCTGAGGTCTAGGGCCCTACCAATGTACATAATTCCTTTAAATTCAGAGACAACTCATGTGTGCATCCACTGGGAGATAAGAAGAGAAGCCCTCCTCTCTGGCTTGCCCAGAAGCCAGCACTCAGGAGCAGTAGCATCTGAAACTCTACAGAGGAAGGACAGATAAATATGGCAAGCTAGGCGAGGGGCTAGGCCACTTATCATGGCGCTGGCTCTGCAAAGCTGGCACTCAAGTTTTTAATGGGCTTACATGTCTCAGGTCAATTTTGAATTTCTTTTTAATTTCAAGTTCTTATTTAAATTCTAGTTAACACAGAGTGTAATACTGATTTCAGGAATTTACTGATTCACCACTTATATATAACACCCAGTGCTCAACACAACAAGTGCCCTCCTTAATGCCCATCACCCATCTAGCCCGTCCCTTGCCCACATCCCTCCAACATCCTCAATTTATTCCCTATCGTTAAGTCTCTTATGGTTTGCCTCCCTCTCTTTTTTCTTTTCTTCCTTCCCCTGTGATCATCTGTTTTGTTTCTTAAATTCCACATATGAATGAGATCATATGGTATTTGTCTTTCTCTGACTTATTTCTCTGACTTATAGCTCCATCCACGTCACTGCAAATGGCAAGATTTCATTCTTTTTGATGGCTGAGTAATACTCCACTGCGCGCACACACCCCACATCTTCTTTATCTATTTATCAGTCAGTGGACATTTGGGCTCCTTCCATAATTTGGCTATTATTGATAATGCTGCTATAAACATCCAGGTCAATTTTTAAAACAAAATTTAAAAATTGCTTTTGTTTATATTTAACATAAAAATGAGATAATGTCAGTGGTCCCTCTCAAAGAATATATATATATATATATATATGCATCCTGGGGATGAGGGAGGCTGGGAAGCCCCTGGGGATGAAGGAAGGGCTGTGCCCCGTCCCCACTACAGAACTGCCTCTTTCAAGGACACCCAACCTGCTGCTCTCCGACTCACTGCTTTTTACTCAAGTCACAAAATGAATGTCCCAGCTCCACTGTGGAAACCCATGGCTTTCACCAAGACCTCACAGCAGGACCCAAACAAAGAAAAACCAAAGCAGAAAGAAAACACATCACATCCAAACATGGGGCCTTCTGTGGGCCCCACTATCCACAAGGCCAATTCAGGAAGCTGCTATTGATTTTCCATGAGAAAGAGAACTAGGCAAAGAGAAAGCTTGCAGGGGAGTCAGGCCAGACGGGGACTAATATCTCATCTCTCTGTGTTATCTTTTTCCACAGTTCAAAAATCAATTAGTGATGAATTTCTCTGGAAACTTCTTAAACAATGTTATTTCATTAAAGATCTGTGCAAGCACCATCAGATTTGCTTTCCAGGTGTGAATTAGAAAATTAGCCTCGTCCTTTTAATAATTTCCTCCTCAGTAACGTTACATCAGTCTACACGACGTCTAGTACCAGCTGAGCTGAAGCCAGTGGGAAGCACATAATTCCTTTTCCCCTCCAGTAACAGAAATAAAAGCAGGTAGGATGGAAAACATGGGTCCTTCCTAAAACAGGAGCAGGAGACAAAATACAGGAGAGCCCTGGAGAGGCCGAGAAGAGCCCGGGAAGACAGATCTTCATGGCTACTGGGAGTAAGCTGCCGGCAAATAGCAAAGGAAAGGGGTGGAGGGTAATTAAGAGGGTGGCAGTACCTGAGAAAGGGGCCATGAGGCAGGTGGGGGGGGCGGCCTGTTGCCTCTGCAACATGCTGCCTAGATGAAGCCAGGAAGGGTGCTTTCTTGGTGTTGTGTAGCTAGCTCCCAGCCCAGACCTATCCATCTCTATCTATGGGCAGCACCACCACAGGTAACAGGCTGGAGGAGCGAGGGCTGTTCTGCGAACAAGGAGGACCGTCACTGCGGCCGGACACAACGACGCTAGCCTGACACGGCAGCATGCAACTGCCTTATGCCCTGCTTCCCTCGACAGAGGAAGGTGCACCCTCATTAATTCAGACGAATTTGCTAGAAGGCCAACCTAATAGACAGTGGTAAGATGCTCTTAAAGGATTCCATTTTATCACTTTCATTTACACATAGTAAAAAGAACTAAGTCTGCCTTTGGTGAATAGATAAAAATGATTAGTAGTTAGCTCATTAAAGCACAATTTAAAAATAACTAACATTTTATCGATTGAACAAAATGACATTAAAACGGTGCCATTCAGAGAGAACAACCAAGTCACCATCCCTGTCTTCAAGGAGCATGCAATCTGGGTAGAAGGTCGGTATCCAGGTCAGTAAATGACTGCAATACAGTGAAATGTGTTATTAGCGGTCAGCTAAGGGGGTGGGGTGATGGGAGCACGGAGAAGCAGCGTCTCACCCCGATGGAGCAAGCTGGACACCTAGGAAAGGCTTTTTGGAAGTGCTCCTGGAACTGGTTCTTGAAGAACAGTTAGACGTTAGCCAGGTTGTAGGGAGGGAAAAGTGAGGGAACCACCTGGTCATCCCAGGCATCTGTATAGTAGTCTATGGTTTGCAAACCTCATAGTTTACCTACGTTTTCTCATTTTTGACTTAGAACAGCCCTCTGAAAGAAGTGCTGTTATTTCACCCTATTATAGATCAAGATAGAGTCCAAATGACTCCCCCAACCCAGCTGGTAAAAGAGGAAGGAACCAAGGAATGGAATCAAGTCCCCTTCACTCCAGACTCCACACCCTGTCAGAAATCTGATGAAAACCACAGACCCTCGTCTCAGAAAAAAATGCACATATGCTCGCACTCACACACAAAAATTCATATACGATTGGATGGCACTCAGAAACCCTCTAAAGCTGGGATCAGCCCCAGGATCCCAGCTAAGGGCTCCTTCTCTGAGCAAAGCTGGTCTGTGCTTATGCTGTGGTCACCCCACATTGTTTGGAGAGAAATGCAGACTTCTGGGCCACTCTGATGATTCTACTTTCAAGCAAGTAAACAGTCACTCTTCATCTAAATCTATTTACCCTACTGCTAGTGAACCTCGTGTCTTTGGATCAAGCAGAGTAAACCTTCAGCCCCACCACACTGGAACAATCTCAGATTCTACAAGACTTGGAGTCAGTCTTATGCTGACTGTGTCCACCCAAAACGAATTCTGTCTGCTGGGGCCTTGGGGATCCAGAGTCACAGGCTCACACTGTGTGGGGAGGGTCTGGGTGTGAGGGCGAGTGAGCAGTCAGGTTGATGGGGCTGGAACTCTGTGAGAGAGGCAGGCAGGCATCTGAGGAAGGAAGCCCTCTGGTCCCTTCTCCCACCTCTAGGGCTTACAATATCATAAGCAGTTCCAGGGCTGACCTCCCAAGCTCTAAAATCTTGCTGGAAACAACTCTCTCAGCAGCAGAAGAGAATTTTGAGTGTAACCACCCCCCACCACCACCCCCGACTGCGAGCAGCAAACTCCTCCTCACCTTGACTGCAGGATCAGGGCAGGGGGCCTCTTCTTGCTCACCCCATATGCGCAGTGTGGCTTGGTGCCTGGCCCACAGCAGGTGGCTACTAAATATATACTAAAGTGATATATGAATGATGTTCCATATCTCCCCATCATTGATTCAAGATCATCTCTGGAAATGACAAAAAAGAAAAGGAATTGAAAAAAATCTCCTCCCCCTGCAGGTTTCATGTCTCTACAGCACATTTTCAGAGGTCCCTCTCCCTTACCTGGGTATGCACAGACACGATGCGCTAGTGGACTTGTTCAGGCACCAGCTGCCTTGCCGCAGGACAGCCCTCTGCCCACAGCTCGCAAGGGCCCGTGGGCCATGTCCACGCTCCCAGGAGGCCAAATGCGCACCCTTGTGGCTCCTGGTGAACCAGCAGCCAGCCGGCCCCACCTACAGCCCTCCTCCCCTCGGGTGAGGACACTCACTGGAGAAACCGCAGAATTTAAATGATCCCACAGGAAGGAAATCAACATCTCTTAGAGAACAAATTCTAGGACTGGAGTAGAAACTGAACATTCTGGAAGCGATAATTGGTCTCATTTATCTAAATTTAGAAGGTCTGGAAAGGGAAAGAGTAACTATTAAGACAAGTTATTTAGAAGATAAGCCTTTAATCAAAGAGATGAGTCAAACCCAAATTCAAACCAAAATCCTGCTCAAATCAGGGGTTTGAAATATAAGTTCCTTTGGGGATAAAAGTCAGATCTTATTTAACTTGAAAATGAATAAGAACTTTCACAAAAAGAATAAACTCTAGCAATGAAAATCGGCCACCTGATAACTGTGATAACCACCAAAAATCATTAGTTGTAAATCAGAAATATTTTGAACAAAAGTGATGCGCTGAGAGACTGGCTGAGCACTGAAAGTTCACAGTGCTTTGAAATCACCTGTGAAATCGGCCCAGATTAGGTAGATTAGGTGTTCACTGCCTTGCACTCACTGTTGGTCCCATTCAGCTTGCCCTGGATGACTTTGGTCATGCCACTCACCCTCCCAGGTAGGCTCTTCTTTTACCCTCCCCCAGTCTCTTCAACAGCAAAATGGAATTGATAACCACTCATTTCTCCCCCATCTTCAGTTCAGTTCAGTTTAACAAACATTTCTTGAATGCCAGTTCTGTGCCTGTAGGTCATGTAGATGAAAAATGAGTAAGACACTGTCCCTATCGTGCTAGAAACCTGCAGGTGATTTTTAAGAATGAGGGTAGGGAGATATCCAGGGTGCTGAATTAAGGCATCCAGAATAAGAGCTAAACAGGAGTTGGCAGGTAAAGAGAAGAAGAGAACACTCCATTCAGAAGAAATGTCAGGAGCCGAACAGACAGGTGGGACATAATCTAGAGCGAGCGAGGAGCATAGGTAATTTGGTCCTCTCAGACCCCAAAGGCAGAACTGCAGGGAGGAGCAGGTGATGAGCCTTGATAGCTGGGAAGGGACCAGGCTGGGAGGCTGTGAGATCTGGGCTAAGCATGTGAACTCTATCCTGTGGGAGGAAGAGTACCATTTTAAAGTTTCCACTATGAAAGTAACTTAGTCATTTGGGCATTTTGGAACATCATTTTTCCATGAAAAGATGTTATGAAGAAAAAAATGAAAAAATGGGGTAAATGCATGAACTTGAAAAAAAAAAAAAAAACAACGAAGGTCATTATGAAATCTACTACATAAGTGACCTCACTTAAGGACAATGATCCCTGTTAATAATGGCTCCAACAGCCAGTAGGGGTGCTCTGCAAGCCAGAACTCATGAAGAAGCCAAGGTCCTCCCAACACTTTTATCCTCAGCCTAACTTGTGGTCACTGCAGACTTGCAGACTCCTGCCTAGATTTTCTTTGCTGGATCTGGATGCTCTCTATGGCCCCCTGCATGTACCTTCATACCAGGTTGACCATTTAGTAATCTGTGCCTCGTGTAGTCCATAGGGCAAACTCAGTGTTCTCCACCAGGTCTTAGCTCATCTTCATAGAGTTCAGAAGGATAACACTCCTCCGATCTGTCTTGTCAGAGACACCTGAACTGAGAGGGTCCCAGGAGCTATGAGAGTCAAGGTTCTGGTCCAGCACGGACACATCTGTCTGCACAGGTCTCCAGTAGGACCTGGCTACCTATCTGTTACAATGAAACTGTAAGTTCTATGTTAGTCATTATTTCTACCCATGGAGCTTCTGGAATTGTACATCTTTCCAAATATAAAATTTAGCCTCTGAATGTTGCAAAATCTCTCTCTGTATCTTTCTTTGTCCCTCCTTATTTTTCTTCATAACACTTATCACAATCTGATGATATATTACATATCTGTATGTTTGCTCACTGTCGATCTATCAAACTGTGTAAGAAGAAAAGATTCTTTCTGTTCATTGCAATATCCTCAGAGCATAGAACAATGTCTAGTCAAGGTAAAGCCTCAATAAATATGTGTGAAATAAATAAATGAAGGACCATAGTACTAATGACAATAGTGCTATCTTCCACTAGCAGCCTTGATCTTTTTTTAACTGTTCACTATTTCACAGAATGAAATAACAGTACAGATTAGGGAGAAGCATGAATGACTGACAGATTTAGTTATTATATTCATTTCATTAACTCAAAAAACATTTCTAGAGAATTGATGACATATATGCCAGGCATTTAAAATATCTTCAAAATTTGTGTACAGCTTTAAAAAAAAAAAAAAGATACTCAAATGGTTTCAAACAAAGGGAAAGAATATTTGGGAAATCTGTAGCCTTCAAAATAGGAGGTCCAGATCTCATGCATCTGAGAATGTGAAGGGATTTCACCAAAATTACTTACTCAACCACAATAGCAGATGTGGGAAAGAAAGATGAAAGCTATCGATTGCCATAAATAGCTCTCAAAATCCTTTCTTTCGTAACATCAATCATTTCAAAATAACCGAAAAATTAGGAGAAAGTCCCTAGTCAGTACAGAGGATACAGTGACTTTTAAAGAACTAAAATGCCAAGCAGAATTGGGAGCTTTCAACGTGAATACCAAATAGAAAGGTGGTGGACATACTATTGATAGAATGCATGCAGCTATAAGAAAAGCATTTGATATAGTGGTATAAAGTGTTACACTCAAAATTAATTCAAATTGGCTTAGTAAGGAGCACTGCCACATAAATTTAAAACCGGCTCAAAGTCTGCAAACAAAGAGTGATGACAAAGGGAAATGTATGGAGTTGGGGGGGAAGTAGGGTGCACAGGGGTCATCTTTATTAATGATCTGAAAGAGGGAGAGTAAACAGCATGTTAATGAAACTTGCAAATGATGCTAATTTGGAAGGTGTTGCTCTGATCATTGTGGACAGAGAGAGAATGTAAATGAACCTTCAGTGGTAATAAATATGAAGAGGAAACAACACAATGAAATTCAAGTGGGAAAACACAAACCGTGCCCCATGCAATGACTCGCCCACTCCCACCCCAGAGCCCTTTGCCCCTCACATTTGTGGGATGGGGCTGGGGAGGAAAAGCATATAACCCTGACTCAGAAACGTTTAATCTAAGCATTCCTCACTTGTGTAATTTTCCTTCACCTGTCCTTTAAATTTCCACAAAAGGCTTTTCCTGGATTCAGAGCAAGAGTGGTGCTCGCCCTTGGATGATGGGGCTCCATAAATTACAGTGCAAGAGAGGCTGTTAAAAGAAAACAAGCAAATAATGAAGGGAATGGGAAAATTGATTTATGAGAAATGACCCAAAGGGGTAGACTTCTGTTAATTGATGGCTAAGTAGTAACATGATAATCACCTGCTGAGCTCTCTCCATGACAAATAACCAAGGGAAGGAAATATTTAGTATCAGACAAGGAACTTAATTCTGCCTGGCAGACAGTGCCTCCCTCTCCCTTGGAGTTGCCACTTTCCTACTGAGGTTCCCTAGTGCAGTTCTGATGCACTTCCCCTTAAGCAGCCTGCCTCTGGGCCCTCCGCACCCCACCCCTGCCCCCACCAGACCCACAGGTCATGCCCTCCTCACTTCTGCTCCTGACTTGATGGACAGCATGAATGCAGGGGCCAGAGGGAGCTCAAGGAGGGCACAGACACACTGAGAGTGGACACACATCCCTACAAAAAGGCAGGTGGGGGAGGCTAGGTCTCAGGACACCTTCATCTCAAACAAGCCTCCTCACACTCCAAGAAAATGAATATAATAGCTCTATGCAAACAGATGATTGTATGCAAATGTGAGTGTTGTCACTATGCTTACTTCCCTAGAAGATCCAGCCACCCAGATTTGTGACTTCACAGAGATCTGCCAGGCTGCCTTAGTGGCCTAGTGGCCCTTTGTGGATGGAAACTGTAACAGAATGTCTCAAGCTTCAGGTCAACTCCCAATCCTAGGAAGTTCAAGTGGACGGAGGCTTAGAACCTGTTTGTCTCACTTCCTTATTTTACACATGACTTAGAACTTAATAAAATTCTTTTGAACACCTTTGCCCAAAGAGAGGCTGCCTGAGGTCGCCACATTGTTTTAGCAAGAACAGTAATAGCTTAATACATCTCTCAATCCCCTGTTAACCTTCAAAATAAAAGTTACTTTGCCAGCAAAAGATGGGTTTATTTGGGAATAGCAGAGAGTTGCAATTTAGGACGCGCAAGCTGTGACAAAACCAGAGGAGACCAACAAAGGAAAGGAAGATTATTTTACAGAGAAGGAGGAGGAAGTTGGGAGGAATTGTTTCAAATGATAAAGTCCACTGGAAAAAAGCAAGAGTTCAGGGTGATGAAGGTTTCTCCTTGGCTGAGGGGCAAGGGTAGCTGATTTCTTATAGAAGATTTAATATATATCTTCTCCTGTCTGGGCCTTGATCATTGGTCATTCTTTCCTGTTGATTCTTCCGTTGGGGTCTGTAATTGACAATTCTTCTAATTGACATTGAGGGGTACCCGCTCCCCCTTCCAGCCTCTGGACTCCACTCTAGTGTTTCGCTTTATCCATTTTTCACACTACATTTTGGAGAAGAGAAACTGAGGCCAGATCAGTGAAATTTTTGCTCAAGGCCACAAAGCCAGGGTCCTCTGAGACCCAGGCAATGGCCTTTCCTCTAACCCTCCTACCTCTCTAGAAATTTGGAAACTGGGAACTTCTGCTACAGGAAGGAGGGAATTTTCCCAGGAACTAAAAAAGAGATCTCAAACCTGGTATTTTCAGACAATCGCTAGATGGATCTGGAATATCAGTAGCTTTGGTCATTTTCTCATACACTAACATTAGCACCCACAAGGCCCTCCACACCTCCTTCTCCACCCTGGGCTGCACCCTCTGTCACCTTGCCTCTCCTTGGCCTGGTGTCTCCTGAGTCATGATGCATGTTCGAGGAACACAAGACCAAGAGATACAACTCCCCACATTTGGGCCAGCACCACAGAACATCCAA